AATAAAAGAAAATATAATTAGTCAATTTTTTTTTCCTAATTGTAGACAATAATTATTAATAGAAAATATATTTATTAATTGATATAAATAAAATAAAATAATTTTTCAAAAACTTTGTCACATATAACCTATTTATTATGAATATGTTTAAGGAAAATAAAATAATTTCTATAAAACTCTATCACAAATTACCTATTTTATTTTCTTTAAAACTTTATCAAATATAACCAGTATTTATCTATTTAGACAAGGATATATTTAAAGAAAATAAAATAATTTTTTAAAAGAGTTTCTATAAAACTCTAACACAAATTACCTATTTATCTATTTATTATGAGTTTTTTAATAAAAGAAAATCTAACGAGACAATAATTATTTATATAAAAATTATTTATTAATTGATATAAAAAATAAAATAATTTTGCTAAAACTCTACCTCAAATTACGTTTTATTATGAATTTTCTAATAAAAGAAAATCTAATTAGACAATGATATATTTGAAGAAAATAAAATTATTTCTATAAAAGTCTAACACAAATTATATATTTTATTTTCAATAAAACTCTATCACATCAGAGAAATATATGTTTAAAGATTTCTATAAAATTCTAACACAAATTACCTATTTATTTATTTATTATGAGCTTTTTAAGAAAAAATTCTAATTAGACAAGAATTATTAATAGAAAAAAATATTTCATTAATTGATATAAAAATAATTTTTAAAAGAGTTTCTATAAAATTCTAACACAAATAACCTATTTATCTATTTATTATGAGTTTTTAATAAAAGGAAATCTAATTAGATAAGAATTATTAGTATAAAAAAAATTTATTAATTGATATAAAAAATTAAATAATTTTTCTAAAACTCTACCATAAATTACCTTTTATTATGACTATTTTAATAAAAGGAAATCTAATTAGCCAAGAATTATTAATATAAAAAATACTTTAGAAAACTCTACCACAAATTAGTTATTTTATTTTCTTTAGTATTTTAGTATTTATTTATTAATATAAAAAATATTTATTAGTTAATATAAAATGAATTATAATAAAAGAATTTTTATAAATAAAATGAATTAAAATAAAAGAGTTTCAAATCATTATTAAAACAACTAAAAAAATAGGGAATTATTTAATAAAATAATTTACCAAATAATAAATAAGTTACAAAACATCCATCACATGCATCGCACGTGCCTTTACTAGTATTTATATATGTGTGTATATATATCATCATAAACCAATTTCTATTTACTTAGGGCTCGTTTGATTTCCCAATTCAGTGCTGAATGCAGAAGACGGTAAGTGATTTTTAAAAATAAGCGCGTTTGATAAAATTTTAGGACACTACTTAATATGGTAATTACCACTTAAAAGAGGCCAAAATTTTAAGCGTTGGAAAGGTTGCTTATAGCTTATTGTAGAACACGGTAAGTGGTTGGGTTTAAAAAATAAATTTCTAATGACTACTCTACCCTCATATAATCGCATTCTCTCTTTTAGGGTTTTTGTCTGCGATTTCTCTAGGGCCTCTTTACAATTTCTTTAGACTCTTCTCTGTGACTTACTATATATAGAAAATAATTATTTATATAAGAATTTTATTCAATTTCATGTACTTTATTTAATATTGTTAACACCATTTTTATACCTTACATAAATATTATGTAATTATTTATATTTTAAACTGTTTTTACTACTATTTTTTTAGTAATAATATTTTTGAATATTTATTTATCATGCAGGAAAAAAAAAAATTACTTATCATATACTTTATTAACCATTTTAAACATATTACATTGAAGATAAATATTATTTGTGTGATGCTGCATACACACACACCCGAATATTTATAGTACCTTATCGTAATGTACGATATTAATTAGCCGACTTTCGAAATGGTGGTTGTCCGAGAACAAAAGAAGAACTATTTAACCATGCACATGCCAAGCTAAAGAATGTGATTGAACGAACATTTGAAGTATTAAAGGCTTATTTCCCAATCTTGAAAAGGATGGCACCTTATACATTTGAAGTGCAAATGAATATTGTTATTGCTTGTGCAGCTATTCACAATTACCTTCGAAAACTATCGTCACGGATGAACTTTTTAAATTGATATATTTCATTGAGTGAATGTAGTTGTTTTATTAATATTTTTGTATTATAAATATCAAACTGTTATGAATATCAGTTATTAAGGGCAAAAATGTAATATGTACAACTTTCAGACTTCAGCTTTTGTATATAACAAACAATCTTAATGAATTTAGTACTTAAAATTAAAATGTTATCAAACAGGTTTTCAAATTATTACATTCAATGCTTAAAGTTTCAGCACTTAAAATTCAATACTTAAAATTTTCAGTGATTAATTTTCAGTATTATCAAACAACACCTTATATTTATTTAAAAAAAAAAAAAAAAATGGATATGATCTTCAATTGAAAAAAAATAATATTTTATCTCAATACATCATATTCTTCAAATAAAAACTCACGTTAATTTCACTTCTTTAATCATTTATATTACTCAAAGTCACAATTTTTTTTTTTAGAAATCTTTTTCTTTTCAATTGAAATCTTTTTCTTTTCACTCTTTTTCTTTAGCGTTAAGGAAAAACATGATTGATTAAATTTAAAATTCTATCGTGCATCAAGCAGTGTAAAAGTAAGACATGCCCATATAATTATTTAATTTTTATTACATGTTTTTATATCTATTTTTTAAAAAATGTAATGTGTTATATGTAGTATTTATAAACATACTGTTATATTCTAATACTTCATATGATTTGATATAATAAATCTCTTGTACAATTGACTCAATAGTTTTTTTTCATTGTTTTGCAAAATAAACTTATATTCTTTAATTATTCGGCTATAAATACCACAAGAATATTAGGGTTTGCATAAGGTTTTAGATAAAGAGACTTTAAAGATGATAAAAAGTCTTATTTATATTTGAGATTAATAGTCAAATAGTTATTCGGATGATGAATGATAATTTAAAGTTTTGAATATTTTGCTCTAAATTTATAAATACATAAACCAAATTAATTTAACACTTTTATCTACAAGTTACTTTAATTTCATTTTAGATTTTACTTCTCTATTTAATTTTCAAATTATTTTTACCTATCATCTAAGCTATTTTACTATCTCAAAATATTGCTAAGTTTCTATCTAGTAGTTATAAAGTTTGAATTTTTTAAAAAAGATAAAAGGATAATGATGGAAATATAAAGTTTTTATTTACTCTGACTTTTCAAAGAAGACAACTAATTACTAATGGGTCAGTGGTCTAGTGATATCAACCTCTTACTTTATTCTCAGTTATGATAGATATGACAATGTAGTTGCAATAGCGCAATGGCTGACACTGGATCATCTTCAATATCACATGCTCGCGGACAAGTGGACAACTAGCAGTTGGGTTTACTTCAACAACTGTAAGAGCATCTCCAACCCACTTGCCATATAAGCTGCCAATTCAAAATATAGTGGGTTAAAATTGTGGTCTCCAATGGCATGCTATATTACCTGTCAAAATTTGGCTTTGCCATTTTTGGTGCCAAATCCAGCACAAGAAATGGCTACTGCTATTTTAGAAAAAACACAGAGAGGGGGGGGGGGGGGGGGGGGGGGGTTGGGGGCGATGGAAACTGAAAGATATGGGTTTTGATTTTTTGAACAATCTGAAATGATATGCCGATATGGGTTCAGATATATATATATATATATATATGAGAGAGAGAGAGAAGGGGGGGGGGGGGGGTAGGGGCGATGGAAACTGAAAGATATAGGTTTTGATTTTTTGAACAATCTGAAATGATATGCCGATATGGGTTCAGATATATATATATATATATATATATATATATATATATACATATATTTAAAAAAGATCATAAAAAATTTCACCAAATAGGATGCAAAACAAGAATTACAGACCTTGATTAGTTGATTTAGGAAAAAAATTAAAACAAAACCCATACGTACAAGTTAGCAATTGCGGAGAAAGAGAGAGGGGGCAAGCTTGAGAGTTAAGAGACAATGGCTGAAGCTTGTGAATGGCGTGGCTGAAGCTTGCAAATGGCCAACCCGAACTGGAACATCGGGCGATGGAAACTGAAAGATATGGGTTTTGAACTTCTGATTCTTGTTGATTTTGTAGTTTGCAGTTGGGGAGAGAGAAAGAGAGAGAGATTTCAGAGTTGAGAACGATAGAGATGGAGGCGACTGGGGAGGCTGAAATGATTTTCCCTAAAACTATATATATTTAGGAGGCTGGAATGATTTTTCCTTAAATAAATAAATATATATTTAATAATAATATAATTAAATATATATAATATACACACACACACATATATATATATAATATATTTTTGAAAAAGAAAAAAAAATTATATAAAAAAATTATTTAATAATATAATCAAATATATAAATATATATATATATATATATATATATATATATATATATATATATATATTTTGAGTCCTTTTTTGACTAGATATTTTAGATTTTTGATTCTTTTTAATTAAGTTTAATTTTAGTTTTTTTTTAATATCTACAACTTGACTTGGAATGTACCTAATATTAACATTACTGATGCAAATATAAATGGTGTGAATGGTAGTTGAAAAGAATAATAGTTGTGTAAAAAAATAGCATTTTGCATAAAATGCATTATTAGAACAGAATTATTAAAATATAACATTTTGACACTGTAATACCGTCAAAATATATATTTGGCATCCGAATTTAGTATTTTATCGTTGGAGATGCTATAAGAGCTTGTATGAATAAAAAATATTCAAAATTTGGGTTTCTAATTTCAAATTTTAAATTCCCACTTAAACCAGACGGCGACGTTACCATTCCCCTCCCAACTCTCCACGCTCACAGAGTGGCGGACAACGGCCGTTAACATACCTCCATTAAACCCCCTCCTCCTCTCTCATTTCCCCCAAACTGCAAAACTAGTCCTCCCCTTCTCTCTCTCTAAACCCCCGATTCGCCGCCCCTCCTCTCTCTAAACCCCACTGCCTTCTCCATCTTAGTTCTATTTTCTCTCTCTAGAAAATGCGTGAGATTCTGCACATTCAGGGGGGCCAATTTGGCAACCAGATCGGGGCAAAGTTCTGGGAGGTGGTTTGCGCCGATCACGGCATAGATTCGACGGGTAGATACCAAGGTGACACGGACCTGCAACTGGAGCGGGTCAATGTGTACTACAACGAAGCTAGCTGTTGCCGGTTCGTCCCACGCGCCGTCCTTATGGACCTCGAACCAGGCACCATGGACAGCGTCCGATCCGGGCCCTACGGCCAGATCTTCCGACCCGACAACTTCGTGTTCGGGCAGTCCGGTGTCGCCAATAATTGGGCCAAAGGTCACTCTACTGAAGGGGCTGGGCTCATCGATTCTGTTCTTGATGTGGTTCGGAAAGAGGCAGAGAATTGTGACTGCCTTCAAGGTAATATAATTATATTCTTTTTTTTTTTTTTTTTTGGTGCTTTTAGAACAATTTATTCAGTATGTGTAGTGTAGATCTGATTATCTGACCTTGAATTAAATTAGAAATGGTTAAATCATCAAATCTAGTTCTCCCCTTTCTCCTTCAAAGGCCATCAGATCTATTTTCCAATTCCTTAAACAGACCCAAAGATCGATTCTTTTTTAGCTGCTAAATCAAATCTGTTTTCCAATTCCTAAAACAGATATCTTTTCCAAAGATCACTCTTTTTTAGAATATGATATCCAATATATGTTTCAATTCTCATTTTAGATTTTACTTCTCTATTTAATTTTCTAGAGTATGAGATCCAATATGTTTCAATTCCTAAGTAATTTTTTTAAAGATAGATTATTTTAGAGTATGAGATCCAATATATCCAACGTTTCAATAAATTACAAGGATTGATTCAAGTGAAGAGAATAAGATCCAATATATCAACATATGTTTCAATTCCTAAATAATTTTCAACATATGAACGGTTTCAATTCCAATTTTTAATTAAGTTAAATAGTATTTGTTTTCCAAATATATATTTTTAGTATTATTATTATTATTATTATTTTATTTATTTATAAATATTACAAGATTGTGTCTTGAAATTCAATTGAAATAATTTATTTTTATTTTTCTCCCTTTTCATATTTCTCCAATTTTTCTCAATATGAGTCCATGTCCAAACAACGTATTCAAATTCAATTGGAAACCCTTTCCACTCCTCTCCCCAATCAATCTCCAGTTTTTCTCAATATGGGTTGGAAGTCCGTCCAAATTGGAAACCCTCTGTCCCCTATATAAAAGATAAATCGAAACCCTAGAACAGTCCCATCAATCAATCAATCAGCTTCCAAACCCTAATCCTAAATGACTCTCTCAATGTTCATCTCCCAACCTCTGCTGAGCCCTTCTTGGGCTCATTCTCAGTCATTTCCTTGCTTTTCGTGGCAGGTAGTAGTAGGTTAACGTGGCAGTTTTTGGTGGGATGATGGGCTTGAACATCCACCGTTTCAAGGATAAGCAATTCATAATATGTCTATTATTTTATTTTCACGGTTAAACATTTATAGAATATTTGTAATAGATAGGTCCAAAATTAAAGAATTTAAAGTTGCATGGATACAAAATTGAAGAAACGGGTTTTAAGTGTGTTTTCATTATTATCTCACTTATCAAACTATGACCACAATGCATGTATAATTCATGTCCCTCAATCTTTTTGATGCAGGTTTACATTTTGGAATGGGAGGAATAGGGAAAAAAAGGGTAAGCTCAGATCTATTGTTCTATTAGTGCCAACTTGTCTATTTTCATTGTTTTTCTATCTATTTTTTTTTTGTTTTCACATTTCATGGTGCTTTACTTTATAGTGTATCTGCTTTACAATAAATAGATAATAAGATCAACGTTTTGGAATGGGAGGAATGGGAAAAAAAAAGGGTAAGCTCAGATATATTGTTCTATTAGTGCTAACTTGTCTGTTTTCATTGTTTTTCTATCTATTTTTTTTTTTATTTTTTATTTTTCTTTTCTTTTCTTTTCACATTTCATGGTGTTTTACTTTATACTGTATATGCTTCACAATAAATAGATAATAAGATCACCGTTTGGAGTATATGCTTTACAATAAATAGATAATAAGATCATCGTTTGCATGAACGGGACTAGAAATTATGTTAAGGGCATAATGCAATAAAAAAAATTAAGAGTGGACAATTCTAAAATTTTAAAGAATTATATATAGGGTAAAGTGTAAATAACCCCTTGAACTATTACCTTTTTGCAAATAATTGATTTGTTGCAATTAATGACAAATCCTTTTGCATTAAAATACACATTAATTATACTATTTACCTCAATTTTATTATTAATATAAATTTCTAATAAAAATAAAAAAAAGATAAATAGATTTGTAACTAACCTTTTCTAAAACGATTAACTTATTATTAAATTTTTATTATTTATAATAAAATTTATTATAACCAATTTAAACCTTTTTAATGTAGAAAAATATCTTTTTTTTCCATACAATATATTGATGAAAAAATAATAATACTTAAAAAAAAATACTTTCTTTTCATGCAATATATCTATAAAAAGTTGAAAAAAATATTTAATTTTTAATTTTTTTTTCTACTAGAGATTTTTATTTAGACAATTAATTTAAAAATTTAAAGGTAAATATATATGCAAATTTAATGGAGAATGTGTTATCAAATTAATATGATTTTTTTTCATCTTTTATTTAAATAAGAAAATAGCTTAAGAGTAATTCAGTAAGAAGGGATATTATGGCCATTTAATGAAACATAGTATAGGCATTGGGGTATATTGCAACAAAATGTGATAGTTTAGGGGGTTTTATGCACAAAATATAGTTCCGGCCCCGCCCGCCGGGGGGGGGCACAAAATGTAATTTTTTCAAATTTAAGAGGATTAAATTTTTTTTTTTTTTTTTAAATATACATATAAAAATGCAATTTTCTAAATTTTTTTTCGAACACATGTCTTGGACCTTAATTGGCTCCATCACTTAGCAATTTCACGATTTCATACCCACTGAAATGAATGAAAGCTACCAAAGAAATGGCAGCTTAGTACTTCGGTCCCTCAAAAATCAAGTTATTACCTTCCCTAGAAATATATATATTTATCAAGTTATTCTTACCTGTTAGCTTGCATGAGCACCTAAACCACACATAGACATGTTTAAAGTACAATAAGTTGTTGCGCATAAGAAGCTTCAACTCAAGGTACAAACGGCATATTGTAGTTTGGAAGCTTCAAAATGACTAAAGTGGAAGGAAGTTTTGCAGACACGTGCACCATGGTCAATTGGACACATTGTGTGTTAACATTTGAAATTAAATTGTACATTTTTCAAATGGTGTACGGGTTTAATTGTTCATAAATTAAGGCCAAAATTGGCCATTAGTGGTCATAATAGGTTGAACATGAAGACTGGCCTAAGTAAATACAATTCTACAAAAATTTGGTATGAACCCATTTTCATAAAGTTAGATGGCAGTTGTTAATACCTAAATTATAATCGAAAATTATCATGACACGTGGACGACGATCTCGAGGTCTGGACTCTGGATCAACCCATGGTCGTTGGGGCAAAAGATTAATTTCTAATCATGCTGATTGGAATTAAGGCCGAGAATTAGGGAGAATGGAATTCTTAGGTCATTAGGACTGAGATAAGATATTGGGGTCATAGCCCTAAGAGAGTCTCTCGACCATCTATGCCTAAGACTCTCGATTTGTATGACCTAAGTCACTCAGTCACTATTATATAAGAAAGTCTCTCGACTATCATGGCCTAAGATTCTTGATCACTATGACCTAAGAAAGTTCCCCTAGTCACTATGACCTAAGACTTTCAATCAAGTATGATTAAGGGGTCCCTCGATCAAGTCATGGCCTAAGGCATTATGACCTGAGAAAACTAATCGGCTATTGTAATACCCTTAATTTTTAGAGGTTTATTTTAATTGATTTAATTGTTATAAATTGCTTATGTGGCTAAGTGTATTTATTTGTTCACTTTTTATTGAGTTAATTATATATTTGTTTGGGTATTTAATTAAGTATTTTAATTTTGTGACTAATGTTATTTAAATTATTTATTGTGTTAATTATGTGATTGATACTTTAACTATATGTTGGTTTGCTTATGTTGAAATTTAATTGTTAATATTTGATTGTTTATTTAAATTAATTAATAGTTTACTTAATTGCTTAGGTTTAATTAAGTTATTAATGGTTTGGGCTTAAGGTATTTAGGGCCTTGGACTAGTTGGAGAAGTGGAGGTAGGCCTAATTGGATGGTGCAGGCTAAAAGCCTATGGGTATATTGTATATATGCATATAAATATATATACATAAATATATATTTATATATATATATTATTATTTGGTTATTATATATATATATATATATATATATATATAATTTCATGTTATGAAGGTTATTATCATTATTACCTTATTATTATTATTGTTGTTGTTGTTGTTGTTGTTGTTTTATTAGGTTTAGTAATCTGATGGGGAAAAGGGTTAGGGTAAGTTAGAATAGTTTATATATAATTATGTAGTAATAACGTGAATAGAAGGGTGAGCAGAAAGCGGCACAGAGGAGAGACAGAGAGGAGAAGGGAGATTTGGCCAGAGAGGAGGAAGGAGAGAGAAATCTGGCCACCACCTTGGGGAATGACGGTAACACATCATTGCCGGAGTTAGAGAAGAATATCGGGCTGTTTTAGAAGCGATATTTGTTGGGGTTAAATCTGAAATCCTTGAGGCAAGTTGTTTCTCTATTCTTCTCCTTTGACTTTGATAATTCACCATCACATGCTAGATTTTAGGACTGAATTAAAGGATTAAAATTGGAATTTAATTGGCTGGGAATCATGGAATTTATTGCCTGAAAGTGCTGATATATATATATATGTGTGTGTGTGTGTGTGTGTTGATGTGCTAATATGTATATGCTGATGTGTTCCTTATTTGCACACTTCAAACTACTCGGGTTTCAAAATTGTGTAGAAAACAAATAACTGTTACAGGTAATAGTTTGGTAGGATACGTAGTTTTTCTATTTTGCTAAAACTATTACGTGGAATTTATTGCCTGAAAGTGCTAATATATATATGCTGATGTGTTCCTTATTTGCACACTTCAAACTACTCGGGTTTCAAAATTGTGTAGAAAATAAATAACTGTTACAGGTAATAGTTTGTGAGGATACATAGTTTTTCTATTTTTGCTAAAACTATTACATGTAACAGTGTGCGGTTTTAATGCTAAAATTTCATTGTTAATTTCTCGGTTTTGTTGTTTAAATTTATGAACTATGTGTAATATAAGTATTGGGTACTGTTTGGGACAAAGTTGTTGACTTGCACCATGCCAATATATATATATATATATATATATATATATATACATACATATATATATGTATTTTTTTAAGTCTAATGAATCAGATTTCCTTGTTGAAATTAAGGCCATGGTATTAATTTCAGTGTCTTAACAATTTATAGTTACTATGTTGTCGCCTAAGTAAGCAGTTTTGTCATTGTGTCACCTTGTTGTAGTTACTGATCCGTATGTGTGCCCATGGGAAAGGAACTTAGTTGATGGAATGTAATTATATAATCATATTATTGTGTTGCACCAACATCAAGCAGGGTTGTTTTTGGTCACCATTGTCTTACTAATGTGAATCTGTTTAGGTGACCTTTATTTGAGAAATTAGGTTGGGATATTATTGCGTTGCACCCACATCAACCATGGGCTTTTGTGTATATATATAGATATATATGCATGGCCCCGATACGAGCTTGAGTCTCCTGATCGGTGGTTAGGACTGAGGCGTATATTGTCGGAGATGAGTAATCAAATATAGGAGATGTGCATACCTTGGTAGATGTGGTCCACTAGTCCACCATTGTGTGCATTTTGCTAGCTGGTATTGTCTATCCGGTTGAGTTTGCTCTATATTGTGGTGAGCGTCTTAGTGTGTATATATTTATTGACTATTTAGCTATTGCATGAGTATAGCTAGGGATGTTGTCTGTATCAGGTCTCTGATTGGGTTGTAGTAGATTAGAACTTGCTTATGGATCTAACCCACCATTGTTTTCCGTTCATCGGATGTTCCAAACCTAGAGTATCTGTAGTTGCTGATTAGAGACGTTCTTCATCACTCTTCCGGATTGCTATGATGTAGGATCCTGTTTCTTTATCTTTGTTTCCTATTTTCAAACCTAGACTTTCAGATGTTTGTATTTATGAGATTTTATTTAGGGGTCTTTGAATATTGGATTCCCGAGTTGTACTAGTTGGAGATTTTATTTATTTAAGGATTATTATTCATTAGTTAGTTTTCTTTCAACTTACTTATTATTCTTATTTATCCTTGTATTTCGTGCTTGTTTAAATACCTTAATTGTTTTTGATATCTCCGGGTCTTTGGGTGTGGGCCTAGCCAACCTACACGTGGAAATTCGGGGGTATCACAACTATGATAATGAGTCTCATTTACCATGGCCCAAGTCTCAACCTAAGAGAGTCTCTCGATCATTAGGGCCTAAAAGTCTTGACTAGCCATAGTCGGGTCTCGATCAGTATGGCCAAGGAGTCTCATCTCAACCAATGGCCTAAGAGTCTCGATCACTATGGCCTAGGAGTTTCAGCCAACCATGGCTTTAGAGTCTCAACCATGACTAAGAAGAAAATTTATTTTTGACCATGGTCATGAGCCTTGACCATGATTGAGAGAGAACTTTATTTTTGACCAAAATAATCAGACTTTAGTCATAGTCAAGGCCAACGAGACTTCTCAATCACAAACCAAACCATAGTCAAAAATGACATGTTGACATTACTTATCACGAATACGCCTAAATGTTGGACAAGTTTAGGCCAAAGATGGATTCGATATCCTCTTAGGTCATGAGCACTTAAAGAAGATTTTTTCGGAGATCTTACCTAGCTCGAACAAATTGGTTCTGTTCGAGAAAATCAGAGCCAATTTGAGAGGAAGAGCGGGAAAAGTGTTCTCATTTCAGCAAGTGAGTTGTTTTGTCAGTGGCCTTAAAGTTGATATTCGGCTGGATGTCCAAGCTGCTCAACCAAACAACCTTTCAGCTGCGGTTGGGTTGGCATGTCTTTATGAGGCGAAATTGTAAGCCCAACAAAAAGTTTTCCAAACAGATCTAAAGAAGCCAATAATGGAACAATCATCAAACTACCAGATTAATGTTCCAATCAACATCAAGAAGCTCACACAAGCAGAAATCAATGAGAGACGCACCAAAGCTGCAAAGGATTTTTCTCATTGAAGGATGTTTGCCTGAGGAAGTTGAGAGGTATGAAGATATTAAAGACATGCAAAACAGATTTTCAGAACTTGGCCTTGAGGACAAGACCAAATCTTAGAGGGACGGAATTGTTACATGTTAAGTGGAGATTTTAGTGGATAGTTATCACTAGTTATGTGTTTAACTATTTTGTAGGTGAAGTGGGGTAGTTATTTAGAAGTGGAATGGAGAGTTATGTGGTACTTATGAGCGTTACTATATTGTGGAGATGTTGGTAGTTTTATTATTGTATAAAGTATTATAAATAGGAGTTCTACAATAAATGAGGGGGGAAGTTGGTTCTAATATGATCATGGTAGATCTTGGAGGTTGGTTTCCCTCGAAGTAAACCATCTATAATCTTGGAGGCTGGTTTCCCTCGAAGTAAACCATCTATGTAATGTTATATTTCTTTTCCTTTATAGCTTCTTCTATTTCCCTATTCAAAATAGGTAAACACAAGAACAAGTTCCTTCCATTGAACCCTTTATTACTAGAAAACAGACCTATTACTCCTTTGTCGAAGGAACGCTACACAAACAACCTAGTGAAGTCCGTGATTTTGTGAGTATTAGTTTTATTTTGATTCTTATGATTTATTGTTCATGGACTGATCTGGTCTCATTTTTGTGTTTATTGTCAAAATAATAATAATAATAATAATAATAATAATGAATTTTATTCATTTAAAATTGTATTTTACTTGAAAGGAACGCACAAACAAGAGTGGTTTGGTGACCACGAGGGACTGGGATATGGATAGAGACATTTTCATGGTGAGAGATAAGCCTGTTCTTATCGTGCAAATTCAAAACTTTGATGCGGGTCTTGTGGATGATATTTATGGTGATTTTGAAGAGATGGAGGCTTGGTTGCATTGTTAGAGCTATGTTTGTGAGACATGGTATTGATCTTACTAGTGATTTTCGTTTCTATTGGATGATTGGTATGAATTATTGTTTTTGGGTTATTTTAAATTTTATAGTACTTGGTTTTGCTTGATTTTAATGTATTAATATGTTTTGTTTTTTAATTTTAGGAATAAAAAATGTTTATACCTATACATGTTGTATTTCTCAGGTCAAAGCAAAAAGTGGACTTATACATGACTGTTATATCGATCTATGGCTGGAAGGGCAACATAATGAAATTTGAAATTACATTAACTATCAAATTAATTGGTATTTCCCAGATTGGCGATGAAGAGTAGCAATTAATTTTGAAGAAGCACTCTTTCACCCCAATCACCCACCACCGCCCCATGCTTCGTGGAAAGAGAACAGAAGCTATGCAAGCTTATGCTGCTGCGGCTTGCCTTTGATTTTGAGGGACAATGGATGTCATCTGTATGGTATGGTTATAGGAATAGCAGAGGCTAGGAGTGCCTCGACAATGCCCCGACTACGGCTATATGACACCCGATACACCTGATAACTGGATCAGCAGTGTGTTTCCAAGTTTAGCTATTGTAGCAGTGTATCTTGTAGCAGTGTATCTTGCTTTTGATATTTTGATGTTGATGTTATTTTGCTATTGTTGGAGTATCTAATGAAATTTGAAATAACATTGTATTTCCCGGCGTTCAAGAGTACCAATTAATTCAATGTTTGAAGCAGCACTCTTTCCCCCAATCACCCACCACCATGCTTCGTGCAAAGAGAGAACAGAAGCTATGCAAGCTTATGCCCGTGGCTGTGGCTTGCCTGTGTTTTTAGGGACAATCGATGTCATCTGTATGTCCTATGGTTATAGGAATAGTACACAGACCAGGAGTGCCTTGACACTGCCCCGACTATGGTTATATCACACTCGAGACACTGGATAATTGGATCAGCAGCGATGCTGTGTGTTTCCAAGTTTAGCTATTGTAGTGTATCTTGCTTTTGGTATTTTGATGTTGATGTTATTTTGCTATTGTGGGAGTGTTTTCTAAATTCCCTTTTTGGATCCTTGCAATTAGGGGGAATTGAATTACAGATGCTATTGTTTCTGTAAAATTGCAAATCAACAAGAAGCTTCAGTTTTCTAACCATGGATGCGCCACTTCTTTTTGAGACTGATTTTCTTCATCAAATTCATTTCCTGCATATGTGAGAAACCAACATCTCTCTAAATGTTCCTATTGCAAGCAAAAAAAGGAAGAAGTGAGATTTAAAAGCTTTCCAAATGCCAATATAACACAAACAAGCACAAACAAACAATCCAGTCTCTAAACTGCCTCAATGTTCAAAGAAGAATCCCCATTGCAGCAACTACACTGGTAATAACAATCACATCTCACACGTGTGTGTAAACCGACAGATTGCTTCCTTATTCCATTATTATTGTGAAGCCGAAACTGGCGAGAAATGTGAGATGCAACATCCTCGTTTGAAATGGCAACATAGTTCGCAGGAGCAATGTGCCTGGCGCTATCCCTTCTTCCATCTTTACTTGAAGACCTGGCACCATTTTGGTGGAACATTCAGAGGTAGCCGTCTGCTAGCACCACCATTTGCACGAGGGCCCACTACCTTCTTTGTACCTTGAACCAAAAATTGTTTCTTGTTCTGTGTTGAGTTGTTCATGGAACTTCTTTTGATACTGTAATGTCAAAAGATAACATATTTCAGTATAAGAAACACACTTTGACTGGTGATCAGCCACTGAAAGCTAATGTGAGATGAGGATTGATTTACGTCAAGACTAATTAGTACTACTTTGTACATACATTTGATTATATCTTGTTATCTCGCTTGATAAAAAGTACCCTCATCCTTGGTTTTTCTTCTTCTCTGTCATGCCGGAGCATTGCATACTCATCTACCATGGCAACTAAGGGAACACCATCATAGGTAAATGATATGCCACGATCTTCTTCCCAAGCCCTTGTCTTGGCAACCAGAGTGTCAACAAGAGCTACATGGCCAAGAAAACCAATCAATAGGATATTTGTGAAAACTCATTTGTAAATATCAACCAAATATCAACTCAGTTGTCCATTTGTGGATGCCTGTTGATCATATTACAGAAATGTAATATCTATCCAAATTTCGTATCATGTCAAAGACAATAATTTCAACTTTCTGAAGGCCCTAGACTAGAAGAAAAGTAAAGGAGAGTGAGAGGAGAGAAGATCAAGCCATCACTCAAAGCCCCATCATTCATAGATCATAAGATTGCTATAGGACCCCAGTAATTTTAAATATGTGCTACTTCATTCTTAATTGGATATCAAGTTTGGCAACCAAAAAGAAATCTAAGCGACTGTTATGGAAATTGTTGATATTATTCTTCACATACCTGTAATGATAGTATTGTAATTTAAAATTTTCATAAAAGTCTTATTTTTCTTCCTTCCTCTCTTCTCTCTATATTTGGAATAACGAAAATTTGATGAGCAAGAAAGATGGCTCATCCATATATTTTTTTCCCTTCCCTTCTTGTCTCTTCTCTACCCAACAAAGGAAGTTTGTTTCTTCCTTCCTATCTTCCCTTCACCCCCTTTTCCTTCCTTCCTACCAAATGAATCATAAATGTAATTTAAAATTTTCATAAAAGTCTTATTTTTCTTCCTTCCTCTCTTCTCTCTATATTTGGAATAACGAAAATTTGATAAGCAAGAAAGATGGCTCATCCATATATTTTTTTTCCCTTCCCTTCTTGTCTCTTCTCTACCCAACAAAGGAAGTTTGTTTCTTCCTTCCTATCTTCCCTTCACCCCCTTTTCCTTCCTTCCTACCAAATGAATCATAAATGTAATTGTAGCATTAGTCCAACAAATACAATTGAAAGCAATCTTAAAATTTATATGGAATATTGACAAAAAATACACTCATATACCTACTTTGTTCCCATATGAACCGTTAACCTTCTATATTGAAAAGTGAGAATTGAAAAGTGAGAAAGTATTAGAAGGTGAAAAAGTACCACTAGACTACCATCCTTAATTTTATTTTTTATTTTTTTCCAATGAAAATTACTTTTATTGCATGTGATAAAGTTAGAGAGGTGTTTGAATTTAGAAACTTCTCTTTAATGCTCCGTTTGGTTAGAAGGATATAAAAATGGATGGAAGAGATAGGGGAAGGGATGGATGAGGAATTCTAAGGGAGAGAATGTGTCTCCTTGTTTTTTATTTGGTTGAATGGAATAGATAGTAAAAAGAATGAATGGGTGAAGAAGAGTTTTTATATATTTGTTATCAATATACCTTCACTGTAGAAAATAATAAAAAGTAGATATTCATTTAAATTTTTTTGAAAATGTTAAAATTGTAAATTGTATATTTGTAGATAGTTATTCACTCTCTCTCTTCTCCTTTCTCCCAAAATTGGACGGATAGAAAAATATGAAAAAATGAGAGATGCGACATCCCTTTGTTTCTTTCTCTCAAACCAAACGCAAAAAACTTCATCCTTCTCTCCTTTCTTTAACTGCACTTGACCATATATTTTTTTATTAGGCCAAAAGTTAGGCAAATAAATATATATATATATATATATATATATATATATATATATATATATATATATATTCAATTTGGAAACAAATGTCTAAATAGCAGTGACCGATTAGATTTTGAAGTTTTGTACATTTGGCTCGAACCCATTTTTTAATTTTTTTAATTTTATTTTATTCTATATATATATATTCAATTTGGAAACAAATGTCTAAATAGCAGTGACCGATTAGATTTTGAAGTTTTGTACATTTGGCTCGAACCCATTTTTTAATTTTTTTTAATTTTATTTTATTCTTTCACAAATTTATCATTTTAGTGCTTTAAAGCGTAATTTGGCTGAATCATACAGCTAGCACCTCATCATATTTGGAATGTATATCAATGCATGTAACTTACCTCTTCTATTTTACCATTTAAATGGCGCATCTGGGAAGGATGTTCAATTGGCTACCCTCTAGTTCGTGATCTCTTTTTTCCACCAGTGATATCTTCTTCAAATGGCCTGTTTATCTAGAGACTTTATTTTGGTTTTTTAACATTCTTAGATCGGGTTTAATCAAACAATCAAATAGAATAGAAATTTAGACATTGTACCTTGATGATTAAATCACCTACTACTACCTTTAAATATTGGATAAGATGTTTAGAGTTTTGAGGGTTTCCTACAAAAATATTAGAGTGTTTTACCAAACTAATTCGATAGAGTTAAATAAAGGTTTTTGTAATTCTTATATATAACAACAACATGGATGACTTCTTTATAAATAAACATACCTAAGTTTCCATTCCTATCATAGAAACTTATATATCAATGGTTATAATTAAATCACTAAGTAGGAAAATCACAATCCAATTGTATAAAACCATTCTCCCAATTAGACCACTAAATTAGAAAGTACAATATAATCCATCAAGTATAGATAATCACATTTAGGGGTACACAAAAGAACCGTAGAACCGGAACCGAAATTCCGGTTCTCATAGTTTCGGTTTCTAAAATGAGGAACCGTTGAGTTTCGGTTCGGTTCTGGTTCCGATCTCACGGTTCGGTTCTGGAACCGGAACCGTAATATATATATATATATTATATTATATTATATATTTTATTTATAGGGAAAATCATTTCAGCGGCTCTCCCCAATTGCCTCAATCTCTATTTTTTTTAGTCTTTTTGCCCTAGATCTGAGCCTCACCTCCCTAGTCGCCTCCAATCTTCATCTCTATTATCTCAACTTTGAACTTCAGAACTTGCCCTCTCTCTCTCTCTGCAACTGTAAACTACAAAATCTACAAGAATTAGAAGTTCAAAACCCATATATTTCAGATCTGTCTGTAAGAATCAAAAGTTCAAAACCCATATCGGCATATCATTTTAGATTGTTCAAAAAATCAAAACCCATATCTTTCAGTTTCCATCGCCTGCTATTCAGTTCAGGTTCGCAAGTTTCAGCTGTCTCTCAACTCTCAAGCTTGCCCCTCTCTCTCTCTCTCTGCAACTGCTAAACTTGTCCCCCCTCTCTCTCTCTCTCTGCAAGTGTAAACTACAAAACTACAAGAATCAGAAGTTCAAAACCTATATATTTCAGATCTGCTGCAAGAATCAAAAGTTTAAAACCTGTATCGGCATATCATTTCAGATTGTTCAAAAAATCAAAATCCATATCTTTCAGTTTCCATCGCCCGTTGTCCAGTTCATGTTGGCAAGCTTCAGCCACTATCTCTCAACTCATGGCTAACGGTTCTCATGGAACCGAAGTTCGGTTCTAATCTATAAGGTTCCGATTCCGTTTTTTAGGAACTTTTGTGAACGGTTCCGGTTTCGGTTCCGATCGGAAAGAACCGAACCGTGTGCACCCCTAATCACATTACAATCCTATTTTTTTTTTTTTAAATATTGCATATGACTATAAAACAATTTTTATTATTTATACATAAAAATTTCCAACATTTCAGGAATCATCAACCCGCCCATATCTGCCCTTTTATAATGGTTATTGGTCGAATTATATTAAATTTGAGGGTCAAGATGGGTTGAATACGATAACCATATTCAAACTCATATTTCACCCATCACATAATAAACACACAACACACATCTATTTTATATTACACTCAACTCATTTCTTTCTCTAAAATTCTCTTACTCACAATCCTCTCTTTCTAAATTTGTTTCTCATCAATCCCCTCTCTCAAAGTTTAGCTCTCTAAAAAAAAAATAATTTAAAAAATTAAAAAAAATTAAAAAAATTTTGAAATAAAAAATATTAAATTTTTTTAAAACCTTCCGAAAAAAATAATAATATTTTGAAACTTTTATTTTTATTTTTTTATTTTATATATATATCAAAATCTCTAAATCAGATTGTTGAATTAGATTTGAATTAAATCTGTAATATGTGAGTTTTAAGATTTTTTTTTTTTTTTGGAAAGGTAAGTTTTGAGAATATTCAATCATCCACCTACTTATTAGTTCCCCACTTCTCATGGCATTGTCGACTGTCT